GGTTCCCTTCCTCTCAGTGTCCTCAGTTCTCACTCCTAAGACCCTCCCAGCATGGTTACCACCCACCCAGGCCCTTGGGGCTCCCTGAGTTGCCCAGAGGTCAGTGCTGGGAGGACTGGAGAGGACTCACCTGGCTGGGCCAGGCTCTGCTGCCTCTGGAACAGTCCTGGGAGAGAGGTCCCTGTGAGAAGTTTGTCCTTCCACCCACACAGAAGCATCATGGGGGTCTCGACCCCTCAGTGTTGGAGTCAAACTGGGCCTGAGAACATTACTTCTCTCTCTTGAGGCTTCAGCTTCCCCATGAGAATCTTGAGGCCCTGGGGTCTCCCTGTGTCCAGGCCTTGTATGTGGGGACAAGGACTTCACCACCACCTCCCCTCCCCAAAGCTTACCAAGACTCAGAAGGGCAGTCAGGACCAGGGCTGTGGCGCTGCCCGGCATGGCTCCCGGGGCTGCAGGTGTAATACACTGACCACAGAGCCTGGCAGGGACCGTCACAGGGTGTCACGAGTCCTAGGGCCTGTGTTATGTGTCATGTGGCTTCCTGATCAGCAGCCTTACAAGGAGGGAAACAGCCCCTCTCTGTGGCCTGGCTCTGCTCTCCCTAGATGTTGGGGCTGAGGACACAGCTGACTGTCTGGAAACCTTTCAGACCAGCTCTGAGTTCCAATCCTGAGGCTGCCTTTGACAGAGGCTGGATGGACAGGAGCAAGTCGCTTCCCCTTCTGAACCGCCGTAAATGTAAATTTCCTTCCTTCCTTCCACCATTCAGACAATCAGCCAGTGACTAGTGAGTTCTCACCAGGTGCAGTCATGGTGGCCGGCACTAGAGATTCAGGGAGGAAGCACACAACTACTTCCTCCACTCTGGAGCTCAGAGGAACACAAGACATTATGATATTTGACTATGAATAATTCAGCTACAGTTCTGCCAAATTGCAGAGAATGGAGTATAGAAGGGTTTTATTAATAACAAGCAGTGATACAATGACAGCATTAATTTAAGTCCTGGAAAAAGTAACAATCCACATTCGTCATGATTTATGCGGGTTTCTTAGTCAAATAATTGAGTGGAATGAGACTTGAAGACCTCCTGGTCTTTATATTAGTCTTAGTGTTTGAAAAGAAGTTTGCTGTGTTCCAGGTGGATGGAGGGATGGCCCATGAAAAGGCACAGCATTGTTCAGTAATTCAGTGTGTGTGTGTGTGTGTGTGTGTGTGTGTGTTTAATTCGTTTGCAAGAGGGAGTTGTGTTTCCTGGGTTTGGAGAGTTTTGTCTCAGGTCTGATTATCAACAACTTAAAACATCAGGTGTAGGTATTTGGATCTTATATTGCGGTAGGTGGACATTTGAGGAAGGGTTGACCTAGGGAGAGGAAGATCCAGTCAGTGTTAGAAGAGCACTTTGCAAGTGTAGTGAGAAGACGGTCCTGGACTTGGTAGGTGAGGGACTGGCGGTGAGTGTGGCTGTGTTTTCAATCTTGGTTTCCCTTGCATATCATTATAAAATAGACACTTAAGGGTGAGAGAAATGAATAGCTAAAAATATCACCATAGAAAGCTTGTAAGTATGTCTTCTGCCTATGACGGATTGTTGTTGTTGTTGTGAAGTGCTGTTGAGTCGGTTCCAACCCATAGCAACCCTGTATAGGGTTTCCGAGGAGCAGCTGGTGAACTTGAACTGACGAACTTGCAATTCAAACGGCTTTGCAGTCTGGCACATTAACCTACAGCACCACACCAGGACTCCTACAACTGTTGTTGTTGTTGTTTTTTGCTGTGGAGTTGGTTCCGACTCATAACGACCCTGTACAGGATTTCTGAGGCTGTAATTCTTTACGGGAGCAGAAAGCCTTATCTTTCTCCCACGGAATAGCTGGTAGTTTCGAATTGCTGACCCTGAGGTTCGCAGCCCGATTCGTAACCACTACGTTGCCAGATCTCCTTAGAATGCCCAAAATGGGGCTACAACTTCCTGTGGAGCCTCTGCATTACATAAGCCCATAGGGGGAATCCTGAACCCCATCCAACATCTTCTGAGGTGGGAAATTTCCACTTGAAAGGACAAGCAGACCAGCCTAGAGTGGTTAGAAGAACAGAAGGTATTTCTTGAAAGAAAGACCAACAGGAAAAATACAAAACAATAATGGCAGACCAACTGACTACTACAAGAACAAGCAAGTTGCTCACCCAGGAGACATCAAGGCTAGCTGTTGGGTACCCTTCCAAGACTAAGACTCCCTTCCAAGACTAAGACTCAATGGAAATACATGAGTAGACATGTGCTCTGACTGGTGACCATATTGGTCACTGATAAGGGGAAATGAGGGGAAAACAACAATGAAGCTGCGAGCTA